GTGTATACTTGAAACCACCTCACTTAAACAGCTTACAGCTCTTCAACCCATTAGACCTTACACTTACCACCTCATCTAGTGAAAACAAACCAAAAATGCTAATTACTGCACATCAGTATAACCTAATCTCATTGTACTTGTTAACGCCGATTATCTTCACTATCTCATAGTAGATGACATGACCAGAAATACCTCAAGTGATGTGCTTATGACTCAATGTTGGTGTGCAAGACATATGCAGTCTTCAACACTCCTTGATGTTTATTTAACTATTTATGGCAAACACCAATGTTCTTTTACTAGTCAACGTTTGCATCTTGACTACCCCCCCCTTTCTGGTGTGGCGCACCCCTTCAACTTCTTGCTCGAACTCAGGCTTACTAGATGAAACATGTGCCAATAACACAAGAGTAAGACTTAGACATTGTGGAAGAATTTATTTTGATTTCTGCTGATTTACTAGATATGGAACAGAGTGAAGCATTATTACTTGAAATTTATTATCCGTTGTCATATGCTGCTATTTTGAAAACCGTTTATAAACAGAATGAGCTGTAGAGGGGAAATGGGGACCAGGTACAAGTTGCAAGATTGATAAAATTCATAACGCATGAAGCCAAAAACATACTATGGCTGCCTGGTTAAATCCTACAGGTTCAACTGACGTTGACGTCACTCAGGTTGCCCACTAACGATGAAAAGAGTGAAGATTGTTAGCAACGCTGTAAATTGTTATGAAGTTATCAGTAAATGTATCTCAATAGGCTCAGTTACAGTATCTTGCCACTGGGTTTATAATTAAGTATTTAATGCACAACAGCAGTTATCTATTTCTGTTGGAAATACAAATTTTAATAAAATAAAGAAATGTAATTGGTTATCTCAGCAGTTGTTAGGGTGGCCTTTGAAGTCACTCCCCACTGATAAAGATTTAGTATAAAAAATCTTTTTTCCTAAATGAACTGAAAACCAAATAAGTTAAGGCAAAAATAAGGTAGGCTTGACACTGAAACATTACAAAGAAAAAATTTAACAAAATGTGGAAAAGTTACTCCCTTTTCATTCATTGATCATGAATGCAATAACAAAAAGAGATACTTTTTAAATTTAGGACTAAATGAAAATATTTACTCTGTCTACACAAAACTTTTAGTCACCAAAGTACGATGGAAATAGAGATTTCTGTTTTTGATTTCTCCGCATTAGGGGGTAATCACTTCCAGCATTCTCCAGTGGATAAACGTCTAAGCTTATGCTGTTTTTCACTGCCATACTGAAACCACTACACCTATACTTGCTGACGAAATTGATAGGCATGTTGTAATTGAAAATGGGTGCTCAGATATGGAAGATTAAATAAAATAGAAGTTAATTATCAGTTCACATCTAGAAGTCCCTTAATTAGATATCACGTGGATCAGTATGCAGTGAGCACCTATCTGTCCACTTCTCCGGAAAGCGTCAAAGAAACGGAGTAAAGCAGACCGAAAATTCACTACATCTATGCTACATTCATATTCATAAATTTGTGAATACATTTCCTGTGATAAGTGGGTTTTTGAAAAACCAATTCAGAAGAAGACCTTAGGGCTCATTTTTAACCTCATGACAACTTTGGAGAGGAACTTCAGGTGCACTTTAGAACTTTTGATAACTTTGGGTAAAGCATTAAGCGCACTTTTTGACTTTTGACAGTTTCTACTGCAAGGTTTGTCTTTTTCAGAGGATCTTGTGAGCATCCCCATGTGGGTAAAATTTAAAAAGTGCTCCTGAATTCAATGCTGGCTGGGAGTTGACTACAAACCAGCAGTTTACTATGTAATAACTGATATTTAGCCATCATACATCCAAAACTGGTCACAATAGAATTTATTGTTTGCGCTATCAAAAATATACAGCGTATGTATTGTTATTACTCTTATAGATTGTACAAAACTCACTCCTTTTACAATCAGGAAAAGTATGTCTGACACCAGGTATGCTACTGCAAGTATTGAATTTATTTCTTCTATCCGATACCGTATAGATTAGCTCATTAGAAATAAGATCATCTGATGCATTCTGAAATTTAACACTTATTAGCGAGTTCAGTAATTTATACATGACCTTTGAATATGTTGAATATCCTGTTCTGTGAACAAAAGTGTTACAACCATTTACGAAGCATCGTAGCATTAAGATTGCTAGATGTTTCAAATCACCAATTGGTAGATCATGTATACTTAGACGATGGTTTGGTGTGAGTCTTCAGTGTGTTCTTACTTCACCACTTGATTGATTCTGATAAATCCAGTCGAATCAAGTACCACTCTTTTGTGTGGGTGATGCAGATTAAAAAACAAATAGGAGACATCACAAACTGATTAGTACTACTTAAAATAATTCTCACTGTTAGTCAGTAATAATTTTAGAAGATGGGGGGTAATTCTGCGATGTGAAGAAAACGTGAACGAAATTTTTACGAGTCATTGTGTGCAATAATAAATGCTAAAGTTGAAATTCGCAAGTGCTGAGGAAGGAATTCAGTTTGACCTAGGTGGTACATGCTTTCTAGCCCAAAATCTATCTAATTACCCTACTATAACAACAAGAGAATCAGAAGAACACAGCACAAAACTTCGCCAAATTGTTATCAGTTATTTCTTTCAATACCTAGTGCAATAAAGCAGAAATGTACCATTAGAAACCTAAATAATAACAGTAACTTTTCAACAAGGTTAAGTAGGTTAAACAACACGAATATGTACAATGCAACAGGTAGGTAGAGGTGAAGTTGTGAAATCAGTAACACCACGCATAAATGTGAATTTGATAAAGTGAAATTTAGGAGACAAATGATTTTCGTCAGGTAACTTTATATCAGCTTTGTACATCATATATAAAAGCGCGTTCAACCTCTTCCCTATTATTAACGTATTATTGATATATTACTGAATAATTTTTTTCCTTTTTCAGAAGAAACTTCTTATTCTAGTATTGGACATTACAATAATCACATGAGCCTACTGATTCATAGTAGGCTGTCATTTGCCGTCGTTACTTATAACTGGGATTGTACAACTTTAGTAAATGATATCCGTCCAAAAGAAAATTTGCTTTTCTGAAGTGTCTCTTGTGTCCTACAAAACCTATTTGTTAATTTTATTCGCCAGATTTTCGTTTTTATAAGCTGATAGCAAAGAATATGTACGCACTGTTTTTTCGATCACAGTTAAATAAGCTACTTAAGTAGTTATTTTTTTATTAGTAACCAATAGGATCTTCGATCAACTGCTTGACTTACAACTAAGTCATTCGACATAACTGCTCAAACGTCAACAGAATGTTCAGAGTTATGCAAAGGTGTAGATCTTCAGAGTCAATATAACGATTAGGATGAAGAACGTACTATATCACTCCTTGACTACTAATTTTTTTTTCCCGTGATATTTTCTTCAACCTCGCTGTCGTATGACTTGCGTCGTTGGCTTTCGGATTAATTTACAAGATTTTAATTTTACCTTTGTTACTCAGACAGTATAATCCCCAATTTGATAGTTGTAAGGATTATTTCGCATGACTGTAACGAATATTGATAACTATTATGATACTAGGGTCCATTTAAAACCGAAATATCTCTTTTGTGTTCAAATTTTTTAAATCAAATAACCCTTCTTTCCAAAAGTCAGTAAGTGGTAGCTTCCTTAAACTGTTTTTTTTACCCACGTTATCACTCACAGGGCTTTATTCACGTTTGTACGACTTATTCTACCCAAAAAATATTAAGTGACCTAGTTATTATATACAAATACTGTTTGTTGTGTATTCAGAGATTTTGGTTAGAGTTTGCAGAAAACCTAGGTGAAGATGATTGTTTAACCGGTGTGAGCGCCATATTCAACCGTCCACACCATAAATTTTAGCCAACCAATAGGTTTCATTGTAATTTCAGTCATGCGGTATTTTGTTTGACTGTTATTTGATTATCAGAGACACAATCGTCTATTGTTCGTCCTGATAACTATGCAACCAAGCTTTTCTCATTCAAATTAGAATCTATCTTAACCAGAAATGCAAGAGTGAAAATGACTGTTATTTAGTCTACTTGAGATAGTGTAAAATAATTATTGAAGCTGATAGTATATACTCCTTGACTGAAGCTAAACTAAGATCAGGTTAACAGCTTGCTTGGTCTCATTACCCAATCCAAAAGGGCATCAAGTCATTGATATGGAAGTCCATGGTTTTCTTCTTGATGCCAACTAAGTCTCCTCTCAACATTTTCATCATCTTTGTATGTTAGGACATGCCTGCAAACAAAGGTTGTCTGAAACAGTATAAATGACTGTTTCATCGAGACTGAAAATACCTACCACCATCGACCTCCTAGTCGAATAAGAGCAGTCACTGAATTTCCCTTCCTCTCTCACCATTCAGCCTGTTAATTTGTGGTGGCTGACTGGAAATATAATCTATGATATCAACTGATGCACTAATTGATGTTTCAAGCTGCTATTATGTGCCATAATATGGCGAAACGTTACTTCCCAAAGCACATTCCATATCCCAATATACTAGGTGATGATTGAAGGGGGAACGGAAATCCGGATCTTGGTCGGACTCGAACGAGCGACTCCCGGGGTTTCTGGCCCAATGCTGTAGCAAGTCAGCTTCGAAGTATAATGGTCCAACGGTCCAATGGTTGAAATCCGGCTGTGGTTCAAATTTTCATTTCATATTCAATCATCACTCAGCATAAATACTAGTCTGTCAACCTGCAGCTATCTGAGATAATCAAAGTGACATCCCAGTATGTTGAAAAACATATGTACAGAAATGAATATATTAGTTAAGAAGACATTTAAACTTTACACCTTATTACAGGGTCAGACAATTTTATTTTCATCTAAGGCAGATAAATCACGTAAGAGTATATAGAAAAACAAATTTATCTATTTACAACATTATCGGTAAAAAAGCAAGCTACCTACTAATGTACACAATATGTTTAATTAATCTCTTTAAGACGAATGTTTATTAATTACATGTCCATTGTTATCACTTCTCTTGTCATTGGCAGCATTTGAATAGCCTGTGTAGCTCATTTTGTAGTGTGTGTCAGCTACTGGAATGTTTATGAAATCCTTTCTATGTGGAAGTGTAATCAGGTAGTCATCAGTCCAATTTAATGGCTTTTTAATATCTGAAATGAAGTTAACAAGTGAATTCGAATGTTTTAAATCTGAGTTCATTGTACTGGGTGTTGACGAAGTTATACAGGAATTAGGAGGAACAGTTACATTCTGAGGTATGACATCAATTTGTTGTTTGTTATCTTGTATTGAATTCAATCCATTCTGTAAGGATGTAGTATAATTACCTTGTTTGGGTAGAGAATACTGTAAGGGACTGTAGTTCATTTTCGCAGATTCACTAGTACTGTCTGAATATAAATTCATTTCCAAAGAATCACGACGTTCTCTCGCTCGACGATTCTGAAACCAGATTTTAACCTATTCAATAATAACAAGAAGAAGAAAAGAATAAGAATAAAGGTTAGAGCATTTTAGTGTTATCTACTTTTGCGCATATATCTATAATTCAGTTATCAACGTACATGAAAACGTGTACACAAGTGTTCGTAGTGAGTTGTTCACTGCGCTACAGTTTTATTTGACAACCAAAACTGAATACGGATTTTTAAAAATCTAAGTTTCTAAAGAAATCTCAGTCACATTACTGGGATAACTATTCATCTGGACTCAGTAAACGACAGAATACTATAACAATACATGTAAATGAAGAAGAGAAGAGAAGGAACAAATGGATAAAGATTTAGAAAATATGCTTTGCTGATGAAGTTTCCCGTCGTTTAACTCCTAAAACAGCACCCAAATAAAACAGATTTGTCATTTTAAGATGGTATTTATCACAGACGAACGTCAGTGGGATAACCACTGAAAACCTGGGAGCACTAGATGCCTGCTTCGTCTTAGTACGGGGCTCCTCAACAGTACGCACCCACTACCCTTATAAGGATCGAACCCAGAGCGGCCAGGTCTCACAGAGAACTCATTAATCATTCAGCCACTGGGTCGGAGTTCAGTGGTTCACAGTTTTCTACCTCTATCAGTTTGGGATATAGTGCGGCTATCCACGAAAGTCTTTATTTGGCATCCGCTTCACTTCCGACTGTCTGACTCCACAGGTCACAGCTTTCTATTGGAACTTAGGGATATCCATTTCAAAGCCTGTCACTAATGAGCCCTATACAGTAATGTAGTTTGGGGTTTACAAGAATTTTACTTTTAAGGTTGATTACGTCACGAGCTGAGATAAGTTGGAAAACCATGGAAACCTGGGATCATTAGACAGGACTCCGACACAGTGGCTGAATGGTTAACGCTTTCAGTGCGGATCCAATGGCCCTCGGTTCTATTCCTGGCTGGGTCATGGATGAGCAATACTGACCAGTTCCATACTAGGACGAAATAGGTGTTCAGTACTCCCATGCTTTCAACTCTTCTCCAACTGATGTCAGTCCGTGATCAGTCGTACCTTGAGATAAATAAAATCCGCATAAACCTCAAACTATATATCATCTTCTCATTAAATATATTGGATCAAGTCTTTAGAAAGTTGAATTCATTTATTTCTACTTAACAAATAATACATTCATATGAAATGTTTTACTTGTTGTCGAACCAGAATGTTGATAAATAATTTGATGCCTAAAACTTGTTCTAGTGTTGCATAGTACTTCCAAGCCAAACACGAGTCATCCTAGTAAAGTTTTCAAAGACTCTAAATGTTTTGAAAAATCTCCATCCACTTAAGGAATCATGAAATCATTACACAGTGTTTGACAGCATGATTTCAAATGGTAAATGGGTCCTATCATATAAAAGAATTTAATTAAAGCAGGATATTTAAAGCTACTTTTATTTCTTCAGTAGGTATTATCATGATTTGATGTGTTCTAATTTGTAATGTGAGCAACAATTCAAACGAATATTATCCTAAAATCCATAATAAAAACCAAAAAATGGGTCTTGGCACAAAAAGTGTTAACAAGACTTATCAAACCTTCGAAATGAAAACTAATTGTACATTTATGGAATAGCCCTACAGAATTTTCGATAACTGTTATTGAATTTAAGGGAAGAGAAAAATGTAAAGTTCAATTTCGAGACATGTTTATTCAATTTTACTTCCTACAATGTACACTTGCACTTATGTGGCATTCCGTAGACTATATTCGATTTGTTTTATGTCAGCAGTAATTATATAGTAATGATGGATAGTGGTTAGCAGTGGAATCCAATACATGCGTTTCGTCTTGTCCCGGACTTGTCAGCTGGCCGTACCTGTCATCCAGTGAGCAATGCTGTTCCCACTAAAACTCAAACCCAGGACGGATCGCTTCAAGGACTAAAGCATTATCCACTAGGCTACTGAGTCAGGATATCCACTTCTTGTGAGACAAGTTTAGTTTTTACGGTGTTGCTTGTATAATCCCATCATTGGTTGCACCATTAGTGTAAATGAGCTGCGCGCAGATACCTCGGAATTTCTTGATCCCATTGCTAGCCACTATCCCTCATTACTATAAAATTGAAACAATAGGCAACATCGAGGCATCGTCGCAGGAACGCATATGTTAATAGAAACTCATCAGTTCGGTCCAATCAACAGTGAGATAATAGAAACAACAACATAACAGTAATTATGTTCAAATCTACATGATAATAAATGGAATAAGTTGCTCGAACTTAACGTGTACCAAAACTAGTAGAAGCCAAGGTAAAAAAAATCCAGTGAAACTGATCAAGTAAGTGATACTGTGTTGCATAGTACTACAAATTATTCTATGAATGATATGGTATTGAAAACAGAATACAAACAGGGAACAGTCAGTATGACGTAAGAAATGAATAAAATGAAAGGAGAGAGTGGTTTCAATCAGTAAAAAGTAAGAAATTTGTGAAAGAAAATAGCTGAAGAGGTCCTGTCTTGTTTGCAAACATATGAATTTTTTTTCACTGGACGCCTAAGGCTACAATAATACAAGGAATGCTTTCATTGTCTTAGTTTGTTTTTACGATGAACTTATACTGGCTAAGTTTGAACATGCAATAGATATCAAAATGATTATTTTCATCATTTCAACTAAAAAATTTCTTCACTTTGTGAGGACTGATTGACATCGGTTGCAGAACTAATGGGTGGGCACTGCTGATGAAACCCATACTAGGACGAAACATGTGTCGAGTGCGTCTATGTTTTCATTAGTTCTTTAACTGATGTCAATTAGTGATGAATACCACCTTATGATCTAGTTTCAGATGAATCTACTGATAATGGCACTGATCTGCTCCAACTACCTGGTTCATAGATCATTCGTTGAATTAAGTATGTAAAATTATCTTGAAACAATGGGTAGTGGACACAGTTTTATATCATTATTATTGTCAGTCGGAACAGACCTTATGTTCCATGAAGCAAAACTGTTCTATCAGTGATGCATAAGTCTAAAGGTAAGTAATGACGTGACAACAAAATGTCACTACTGTTTAATCACTTGTTTCTTTTGGTATTACCGTTACTGATAATAAATGTAGTAATGTTTTAAATTATTACTCATACAATTTTAATGATCATTCAGACTTCAATGTTAAGTACGCCAAAATAATCTATTGGATTTCAGGGACAGACTGAAGGCGGGAACGCTTACGCACACACACATACAGGGAGAGAGAAACACACAACAACAGCTACAGAAGATTCAAGCCAAACTTGATAAGACAAAAGGAAAATCGAGGAAATCTTTAATCCTTTCTTGATCCCGTTTATCTGTCTCTTGTTCTCTCTCTGTCTATCATCCTATTTCTCTTACTTTGTCTCATTCAGTTAGCAGAAGTAATTTTTTCTTAAACAAGTAAATTAAAGCCATTTGGTTATCTCAATTCATCTTTTAATGCCACATATTGTTTAACCAGATGGTTAATCTTATCAACTAGTGAATTAATCAAATGTGTATATTGCACTCAATTTTTACACTGCATATACTACATTAAAATTTAATTGGCTAAAGATAACGGATTAACTTTTCATGCGGTCTTAGTCTCTATCTTCTAATGGTTCCATTGAGTATTTATCAATCATTTGATTATGATAACAGTCATTCGCCTGTTACATTATTTACAGTTATTATTATACGACTGGATATCACATAATAACAATAACGAAGAAATAACCCCATGACTTATGTAATAATGTATACCAGCAGGACTTACCACTCACTCAGTTTAGGTTCAAGAAATTGTTTAACAAGAAACTGATAAATTCCTATAGGAATCTTTTAGACCAGTTTGTATTGAAATGAAAAACAGTTCATGATGTTATATTCATCTTGGTGACTAGTAGTGGAATCTAGAAAGTGGGTGTAATCCTATTTAGGTCTCGTCAACTGGGTGTGCCTGTACCCCGGTGAATGATGCTGTTCTCACTGGGACTCGAAACCAATACCCATCGCTTCAAACGCCAAGATAAATATAACATCCTGAATATCTGTCAGGATCGAAGCTTCCGCAAAGAAGCTCATCTATCAAAAGATGTCGAGCAAACCAGCCCTATATAACAACGAGAAATTACACGTATCAAAAACAAAAAGAAAAACCGTTCATTTTTAACTCGTCTACCTAAAGCGAGTTAGTGCATGAAAAGAATAGGATTTGAATATTCTATAACCGATATGTAAACACGTAGCTCATGAGATCATTATATCTCATACAAAATTCAGTTCAATAGAACAGCGAAGAAATTGTTTTTTTCTATAAAACATCTAATAGAGAGATGAGATCTGTCAGACTGATCCAATTTTTAAGAAAGGTTGACATCCACTGTCTTTTGGACAACAGTATTAGGCGACCAGACAGAAATATGGCTGCAAGATCAACCAAAAGGCCCTGAAGGTGTTCAAAAAGTGTACAGATGTTAAAAAACTAATATGATACTTAAGGCTGCATTCATCAGAGACCGACATCAGTTAGAGAACCAGATATCCCCAAGTTCAAATAAGAACCCATAACCTGTGGGGTCAACCAGTAGGAAGTAAAGCGGATGCCAGCTGAAGATCTTGGTGGATAGTCGCGTTAAATAGCGAATTGACAAAAGTAGGAAACTGTGCACCATTGAAGATGGACTTAGTGGCTGGGGGGTTAGAGTGCTCTCTACGATACCTAAAGGTCATGTGTTCAGTCCCCAATAAGATCGTTAAAGCATACTGCCAGCAAACTTGAAAATAAATTCTCCATAAACCTCAGACTACGGTGATATAATACTGACATATACCTGCTGAGTTATCGCTTTATTAGATTCTAACAATGGACGTGGACTGTTTTTTTTTATACCCAACAACTGGATGTAGCTGCATCCCACTCAGTTATACTCTTCCTACGAGGTCTCGAACCCCGAAGTAATTTCCAGTCGGTTAATCAGTCAAAAACAGACAGTTATCGTACATCCAGTTTTATTCTCCTTTTGATTGAATAACGTTAGAACGTGATCTCACCATGCTGATATCGGGGAAACTGCATAGAGATAAGTGTCAACAGAAGCAAATCAACTCAGTCCAACAGAGAGAAAAGAAGAGGATTAGAAAGTGCGATTGCCATTATAAAGTTGTCGATAAAGGGTGTGTGAAAAAATTCATCAGGTTAATTTTGAAAAACCGAATGCATTACTTTCAATAACATTAGAGTCAGCTTGGTTAGAATAAGTTATTAAATGCACTGAACAACCTATCAATAATATATTAACGGAACTTAGTTGCTTTTCGGGCAGCATCGTATCAAATACAGGCTGCACAGATGAGGACGTCAAAGCCAGGATCGGAAAAACAGCAAGAAAGGCCTTCATTAACCTGAAATCAGTGTGGAGATCTATTGCACTGCACTGCATTCAGCATAAAGAACAAGATCCGGATTTTCAACATCAACATCAAGTCAGTGCTTCTATATGGTCCAGAAACTTCACACATCACGAAAAGCATTTCCAACAAACTACTGACATTCATCAATACCTGCCCCCTACGTTCACTCCATACTAACACTGAAGATCAGATCAGATGGCCAGAATAGTATGAATAAGCAACAAGGAACTCTGGCTGGCTGGCTGGCTGGCTGTGATGGTATTTGTCACCTAGGAAACTACCCTATGAGAACTTATCTCAATAATCTGGTCATATGTAAAGAGTTATTTTGTGTTTATCTCTTTATAGGTAAAGTCTATTAAATGCCTGATATACTCTTATCTTCAGTCTATCTTAAGTCATCATTACTATTCAAGAGAACAGTTCTAGGGAACCAATGGATTTAAAGACTGCTTTCATGAGAAAATGGCATCATCTACAAAACCATTAAGAACAATGGAGTTCGAAGCTCTAGTATCCAGTTTCATGCTTCCCCAGTGACTAGTCAATGTATCTAATCCAGTCCTATAAGAAGTTAGTCACGATCAAATAGCTTAGTGGCAACACCACTGACTACAGCACTGAGTTACACAAGGCTGAATCTTAGGCAGGACTCCAGTTCCATCAAGGTTCTTTATGCGCCTCGCTTATGAGTCCAAAGTTTCCTGCTGATTAGCACTGTGATGCTGAGTTCCCTAGCTTGATGGTCACATTGTGAAATGGATTGATGGGATTCAATCAACACCTAGGACTAGACAACATGATATTGGTTGCTCTTCAGTCAATGTAATTTTAATTATCTAGTGTTTAGAATATAACGACTTACCCTTGTCTCAGTTAGATTTAAATTTATCGCCAGTTGTTTCACTTCCCATCCACTTAAATATTTTGATTTTTGAAATTTCCTCTCTAATCCAAATATTTGATCACGTGTAAATGGAATACGTGGACTGCGGCTTTTATAATGTTTCAAGTTTTCATCCTTCTCTAAATGATGATGATAAGAATTTTCTAATAGATCATTTTGCGAATTGTTACTATTATTATTATCCTTGTTGTTGTTCAATGATATGTCATAGTGATTCGATTGTCTGTTTATTGGATATTCCGGTATAATTGATCCTATTGGTTGGTATATTAACCTACTGTCTGAAAGTTGACAAAGATAGGAAATAAAAAATTGATATAAGCACTTTGGACTGTAAGTAGGTAGTGGGATAACAAAGTCCTCGTAGCTCAGTTGGTAGAGCACCGGGCCGGTTACCCAGTGGTCACTGGTTCGAATACTCATTTCACCTTCAATCATCACCCAGTATAGATACTAGTCTTTCGAACCACGATTGTCTGATAGTCAAACGATAAAGTAATGAAGGTGAAGCTGACTAAGTATAAAACGACACACTGCTAAAATAGAATGACCACATTTTGCAAATGATTTACATACTGTGGGCTCCACGTTAACATTTCTCACAAAAGAGTAGTTTTCCAACTGTTCAATTTATGAGCTTGACCCTAAATGGACAAAACGATTGTCTAATGTTTAGATCATTGAGATCTGGCTAGTAAAATCTACAGATCATTTTAATTGGATCTCCCATCACTTATATTATTCATTAAATTTGTTTCGTTAGCACATTTTATGATGGACTCAGTAGATTGTTAAGTATATTTGGGATGAACTTACATCATTTATTAAATAATTAGAGCCTAAATTCCCTGAATGAATAATAATTCAGAGCTAATCAGTAATCGACAACATCCTAAGATGGCTACATTAATTTTTATGAGTTACCAGAAGTAAAAAGGCATGTGTGCATGTACTTGATTACCCAGCCTCAAAATGAGTGTCTTACCATTCAAGGAAGTTAAAAGTAAGGTCACTGATAATTAATGACATTAAATGTTGTTCATACCTTATCGTGGACTGAAACTCAGTGGCTGAATGGCAACAGGATAACCAAGAGACCTGATAGTTTTGGGTTGGATCACTCACAAAGTTGTGAGAGCGATTTGATAAGAAACAGCCGTCGAGTTTTCTCAGGTTATCTAGCTGATACTAATCCGCAATGAAAACTAATTTCAAAAGCATCAGCATTTCGCTGTACTCCTTTCGATAACTTGATAAGAAACTGAAGTAGATATTTGTATTGAAGTTAACCGATTAGCTGGGAAGTAATACATAAGTTTGTCATTCATTCTGGAGTTCGCATTAGATTTCAGTGTTTATTTCATACAAAATAAAATGCTTTCGGTTAAAGTTTCAAAATTAAGCGTTAAATTGACAGCCAATTTTCTAGACATTTCATGCACTTAACGAGTATTGACATAAATTAGATAGACATGAGTGAATAACTGTTGTTGCTGTTTAGTCTCTAGTAAATGACTTGAGTTTTTATCACGGAGGGAACATCAGTCTCCTCATGGTTGCAGATATGCTTTGCTGATGAGCACGAAACCTAAGTCAAAGAAGGCTTCCTACTAATTGACTCTCAACATCTAATACTATAATGGCTATAAATTGTGAAATGTAAGCGGTTTTTGTTTACACAAGAGATGATACGGAACGATAATCAGTAATGTGTTATGTACTGAAGTTGATCTGTTGTACTCCCATTCAATACAAGTATACTATAGTAAGGAGATCACAAACCGTCTCTGATCCTGATTTACTTTCGACATCCTAAACTGATCAGTAAATTACTTCGTTAAAAGGTGTATTCAGCTACCTATTTTTAACTTAACCATCTTACTATTCGCTACAGTTAAAAAGCTACTCAGCATCATGGTAGTGAGATATATTGATCAAGATTTTAATAGTAACTTTCTAACACATTACAACTTGATTGTGGCTAGCAGATAAATCCAGGATGTGTTTCGTCCAATTCGGGACTCGTCGGCTGGATGTACCTGCACCACAGTGAGGGGTGTTGTTCCTACTGGAACTCGAATCATTTACTCATTGCTTCGAGCACCAGAGCGTTATTCACTAGACCAGTGAGGTAGGATAGCCACCACCTGTAAAACAGGTATAAGTTATTATTATTTGTTGATATACTTGTAATTCTCCGTTGTTATACTGGATCGGATTGTTCGATCTCTGTTGACATATGAGGTCCTATATGGATGCCTCTATATTGCCTGAATATTTATCATGACATTTTACTTGGTTCTGACTAGGTGAGGAGTCCAGCATGCACGTTTCGTCCTATTTGAGACTCGTTAGCCGGATGTGACTACAGACAATATCAAGACATCCGCATAGAGGTCAATCAATTCGACGTAGTATAACAATGGAGAGTTACAAGCACATCAACAAATAGTAACTTCCAGTACATTGTTACAAATGCTCTATATTCCAAATTTTAAGATTACAAATGTATATTCAGAATACACTTAATCCGCAGACAAAGACAATCATATGGTTTTGATAAACTTTCTTGATGTTATGGTTAATGTTTTTCTAGCTAAGGTTGAACATGTGTTTTCGTTAGTGTGGTTTCTCTTTGACTTTTATCTTTTATAAGTAAAGTAGCTGATATCGAATCCTCCCGTGATCTAGATTTTCGTTTCACGTATAATCATCGTCACACGTCAGTAATACGAGTCTGTGGAACCAAACCTATCTAATATAACAAAACTGATAATCTGTATAACACTCCCCCCTCTTAATTCAGCTCATTTTGAACTGAAGTGAGACGACCAGACTCGGAAGACAATGTGGTTAAGATGAATGAATAGTTAATTTTCACAGCTGGGTCTCGAAGCTCAGTTGGTAGGGTAGTGGGTCGGCAACCAGGAGGTCTATGATTCGAATCGTGACACGATACAGATTTTTAGTCATCATCTGAGGAGTCAGACTAGGTGCAGCTTTGTCAAAATGACCAACTACATGGAAGATGAGATGTATTAAGTGGCATCAAAAGGTACAACCGAGAACACAAAAGATCATTGTAAAATCGAATCAACTGGGTGTTTTCCACCCTTACTCTTTTACCTAACGTTACTTAATCAACAAAAGCAATAGTTTTGTAGGAAAGTATGGTAGAATTTAGGAATTGAATCATGTTTGTACAGCTCAAAAAGTTATCTTAGCAAAGCCATACGTCTTTTTAGTTTTCACCACCGATTTATATCAGCTGAAGAATCACTGAAGACGTATTGGAACTAGACAGGGCTCAAACCCAAGAACGTCAGGCCTCACAATGAGCAAACCACCATAGAATTATTTGGTTGACATTCAGTGGTCTACTAGTTCCTACTTTCATTCTTTCTCCAGATACAGCAAGCATCCTCTAATAGCATCAGTGGGTTTCCGGCTGATACGAAACTCGAGTGACCTCAGAGGTCATAACTTAGCATCAGAACTTCGAGTAACGGTCGTGTAACATGAAACTTGCAAACAGTGGGTATTAATTCGATTGTAGATTTAATGGGTTTCATTGGTTTGAAAGGTGATGGTTCTGGGCTAGATTCCTCTGGGAGTCATGGGTGCTCAGCACTGAGAATTTTCAGATTTGGACGAAACAGATATTTAATGCTACCAGGTGTTATTGGTTCTCCATTTGACTTTAATAAATGATAAAAACAACTTTCGAACAAATAAACGCCTACAAACTAACAACTGAACAATGATGATACTATTTGAGATAATAAAGGGTATATGAGATAAAAACGAAAGAGTTTCAAATGCAGACATATAAGCAGTCTGATAACAGAATCCGTCACCCCTTTATGCGGTTTTGTCTTTCTTGAATTAGAAAAACTTGGAATTCAGATAAGTGTATCCCAACCTCAATCTTGCATTCCAAACCAAACTTTATTCATAAGCATAACTGTTAAGTCTCAGTTTGATTCCCGGTTATCTGCATTCTGTTTTATCTTAAACTACCGCTAGTATAATGCATAGTTCATTAAATTTCACTACTCATTTATGAATTGTGAGAAGAGGAAGAAAGTGTTACATCATCCTCCCTGGAAATAAAAAGCAAATTACAAAATTTCTACACGGTTTTTATTAAATTTTGAGGGAGTTCGATCCCTGCTGGTGGGGTCTTGGGTGCGCACTGCTGAGGAGTCCCATACTAGGACGAAACAGCTGTCCAGTGCTCCCAGGTTTCCTTTGTTCCTTCAACTGATGTCAGTCTACGATGAATAACAACCGTTTTTATTGTTCACTATGAGTAGGATATGTTCACAGGATTATATTACATCTCTTTTGTTTTATTGGGAAAAAATAACATCAAAAAAACGTCGTATGTAAATGTCAAAGTGATTACGGAGTACACATAACATATTACTACCGTATCATATAATGACTAATTGTGAATAAGTCAGCAGATTACACCAAAATCAAATATAGTATAAGCTTGATGTTATTTTAGATGGTTAAAAACAATCGACAAGAAGTCCCGCTTGACTTAAGTTGCGTGTTTATTAGCATTCATTTTCAAATAGTACCTGCAACCCCGGGGGAATTGGTGCTCCGTTTAAGGTTCGAACCCACGGCATGCAGTCCTACAGTCAGAGATGTTACAACTGAACTCTTCAGTTCACTAAAAGTGGTCACAGGTTAAAATCAATAGTTGAAAGATTCATACCAAAATAACTAAACAATTGTTAATGTCAACAAATGTCTATATTAACTGCATTTCAGTGCGATTGTACAGCTTCTGACAGTGTAATTATTGGAAAGAGATTTTGCTGGTTGAATTCCTCCTACTCTTATTACTCACAGAGAATAGAATGAGTCACACGATCTTCATTTCATATCTTTACTTTGTTTTTTGGTTATCTTCATTCTCGGTCTTTCTTGAAACTGAATGAAAAGCCTACTGGCTTATAGGTTTGTCTAAGTGTATGGAACTGCAAAATATTTTAGCAGTGGATGTCATGAGTCAGTCAGCAGGAAGCCTTAAGAGATATCAGTTCCCTTGAGATTACAGACCCGCCTTGATGACGAAAGTCAACCAGTAGGAAACCCAGTTCCAGGTTCAGGCTTTCTGACTGTCATCTCCAACCATTCTATATCATTCAAGTTGTACTCTGATGGCAAGTCTCCTAGCTTCGTGACCGCAGTACAAAAGGATCGATAGAAATTGATCATCACTTAAGATTAGACAATATAAAATCCACTGACTACATAGTTTGCAATGACCTTACAGTTGATCTCGACAATCAGACTCATTAATCTCAACCTGTTCATCTTTACCGCTGTCCAGGTTGGCTTCAAATGAAAGAAATAACTATCTCAGTACATCTGGATAACTGATCTAAGTACACTGATATACACTGGGTCATAAGTCTGTTCAAACGTATGGATCAGACTTGGCTTATAAGTGCTGTATTTTGTGTACTGATGGTGACTTCATTTAAGGGGATCTTTTTACTTATTACTTTCAGACTTTAAATGTAACGCTACTTGACTCCAGTTAAGAGACCTAACTTGAAATTTTTATTTCAGTCATCATGTTCTTTTTATGGAATGAAATCTTGATCGTTCGCTAACTGATTCTTCTTTCAAATATTCGGTTAATTAGAGTGATGTGAATCTGTCCAATGAACAGTTTCTGAGTCATGAAATAAAATGCTACAGTGTAAACAGGTACATGATATGATCGTTTGTAGATGCACAAAGTAAGAAACTTCTTGTCCTAGAAAACTTACTGTCAGACCATTCCTAATATATATATGCCTATAAATGACTCATAAGATGTAATTTATATACACATCAACTAATGTCTCTATTGCTTATTTCCATCTGCATCTATGTGATTTTCCATACACCTTACAACTCTACAATCGGCTTCAAAAATGCTATTTCGGTGACTGCCACTCAAGCGATAACTAGAAGACATAATTGAATGCTGAGTAGCCATATTGCATCCTTCTGGAACAGCCCAGAATGGAACACATAAAGATATAAATCGTTCTTCAACAGGTTGTCATATTATCATCGTTATCATCCGGACGGAAAATATTTTATCGAAAAGGAAAGTTAACAGCGACAAATAACCAGTTATAAGTGATAACATGTGAGATAGTCAAGTTTTATTGGTCATTTCAACAAAACTTTGTAATTTCTGAAAGCATAAAGTTGACTTAAACCGCCTAATGGCTAATTCTTCGACAAAATTTCAAATACTTTCTTAACAAGTCTTATAAATGGGCTTAAATGAAGTGTGTACATCCATTTTATGCCCCGTCTCAACAATATGTGTAGTTATTGAGAATCTAGGAAGTTTGTTTCAAGCATCATTTCGGTCAGACGACTCCATTTGCTTCTGAAGTCAATTTGGAATGCGTCCTCCACCAGTCCTCCCTCATGTATATGTGATCATACGTACACCTTAATTGGTAAGTGGAATGTAAACTGTTTACTAAAGCTGTTGAAAACTAGGTTGTTTTTTTTAACTCTAAGCATTATCTCCATATAAATTTTAAGAGTTAGTCTGACGCTAAGCTTTCTAGAGCAAAAAATTTCTAATGTTCATCTCGGTAACTAGTGATGGGATCTAGGACTCGCTTTTCGTCTCATTTGGGACTTATCGGCCGAATGTACCTGCACCTCAGTGAATGATGTTGTTCTCGCTAGGACTCGCACCCAGTACCCATCGCTTCACATACGAAATCGTTATCCACTAGGGCAATTGTATTTCAAAGTGACTTCAGAAGCAAATGGAGTCGTCTGACCGAAATGATGCTTGAAACAAACTTCCTAGATTCTCAATAACTACACATATTGTTGAGACGGGGCATAAAATGGATGTACACACTTCATTTAAGCCCATTTATAAGACTTGTTAAGAAAGTATTTGAAATTTTGTCGAAGAATTAGCCATTAGGCGGTTTAAGTCAACTTTATGCTTTCAGAAATTACAAAGTTTTGTTGAAATGACCAATAAAACTTGACTATCTCACATGTTATCACTTATAACTGGTTATTTGTCGCTGTTAACTTTCCTTTTCGATAAAATATTTTCCGTCCGGATGATAACGATGATAATATGACAACCTGTTGAAGAACGATTTATATCTTTATGTGTTCTACTCTGAGCTATACATCATGAATATCTGACAGCATCGAGGTATCTGTATAAGAATCCATCTGATTGCAGTTTCTAATCTGTTTGACCCTGTTTAGCAGTGTTAAATTAAAAGTATCAAGCAAGGAGTTTCTTGCTTTGTGAATCTATAAACAATCACATTATTTGCATTCCATGACATGTTTACATGTACCGTTTCGTACCGCAGTATTTCATTTCATGTCAAGGAAACTGTTTGTTGTATAAATTTACACCACTCTGATTGATCGGCTCTTTGAAAGAAGACTAAGCTAATAATCTACCAAGATTTCATAATGTTAACAAGTACACAACTTATTTGTCAGGGTGAAATTATCAAATGCAAAGTGTATTATCAATGATCTATCATTACGTAAGTAGTAAATACTGAAATATCCAAAAAAAATAAATTGATGTTATACGTTATTTACTTGATATGCTATCCATCTTCATGTCGGTACTAACTGATATATTGTTGTAACATGTGTCAACTCGTTTAAAGCAACTGTCAGTATTTCCGTTGAGTTTTGCACCATTTAAAGATATTTTATTCTGCTCTGTATTATGATTTCCTAAAATGGCATCAATAGTAAATCCGTTAATCTGTTCATTTCTGAAACTAAAGTGAATTGATTGATTGCAGTGTTCAGGTGAAGGATTCTCATGTTTAAAGTGAGTTGTACTCATTATCATATCAATGTTGAACTAAGGAATGATTTTATTTACTTTCTCATCTATCATGCTACTTAATTTATTGAGTTCGTCTTCTTAATTTTCATTGGTTCATTTCATACGCAAAATTAAAATTAAACGAAGCAGTTCTGTCATTATCTCTGTACTGATTGGTTCCTTCAGATGAGATGATAATTTCTGTCCTCTGAGAATCACTTTCAATCAAAGCGATAATTGAAAAATTATGACTATTTAGCTCATAAGAAAGGACGCCAATTACCGTTTACCAATCAACATAACTAAAAGCATTTTCAACACTTAGTTCTCTTCAATCAGGGGAGTGATCACATTAACAAGGATATACTGAGTTCTCTTTAGGATTTTGAGTAATGCAATAGATATGTTGTTATGACGAGAACCGCAAGTAAACAGTAAATAAGGTAATGCAATATAGATAAAAGCAAGGTAGGGTGAATTTTCAGTCATTCAGGAAATAGCTTAGAGAACCTTGTTATTTTATGTCTGGTGTGAGCTTTCATATAATTCATAAGCTACTCTAAAGGTCACCCTGACAACTTCTGAAGTAACCTATTAGAATTCTGTAGTTTTAAAAAACTGCTTTATCAGTTAGAATAGCGAAGCCTGACTGTTTATTTCAGTTGTTACTAGGATGGTCTTTAAAGTCAGTCCAATTTACGCAAGAATAATTTAAGCGCTTGCGGAAACCACCTAAAATTGTGGATGAAGTATCTATAGGCCATGAGTCGATTGGATGCAAATATTTGTGAGATTTGAGTACTCGAAGATGAATCTGTACCGATTCTCAGCCTGACCAAATAGTCTGCAATTATATGAAAAGTTGAATGCTACCAAAGATCAGATTTTTAACTGAGTGGTAATAGGACGAATAGATTGTTCAGGAAAATATAACCAGAATTACAAAAACAAACTAGTTACACTCTTTTACAATGAATATCATAAATGGTTATGAACTTAGCAACAAACGAAAGGTGGTTGGTTCAAAACCTGCCGTGAAACAGATTTTCATTACATCTTCAAACAATACCCAGTATCAGTCCATTTTTAAAATTTAATCAGTATGTTTCTGTTTGATGAGTTTTAGAACCAGATGTAAAGGCTTAGTACACTAATTTGAGTGGTGCAGCTTCGCTACACCTATTGTACTGTCAGTAACACATACTGCGAAACTGACTGCATAGTTATGCTTCTTTACAGCTATCTTTTATTCGAGGTAAACATCATGATAAATCATTTAAAATTCCGGGGACTGGCTATGTTGATCACCTACAAGATATTATTATTATTACGACGTGGTGATTGAAAGTGAGATACAAATCTGGGTCGTATCAGAGTACGAATCAACTACCTGTGGATTATCAGTTCGGCTAGTTCTCCGGTTTCACAGGTGTAGGTATTGCATTAAGTCCAAAGGCGAAAGGTACAGTATTCGACTAGATCCCGGTTGATAGCCACCTGTATAGTTGAGGTGACTTTAAAGACCAACCTATCAACTGATGAGATAGCCAATTACATTCCTTTATTTTATGGAAAAGTACATTCCCAGGCGAAATACCGAAGCCTGATTGGTCATTTCAGCAGTTGCTTAGGTGGCCTTTAAAGTCACTCACATGGTTAACTGAACAGCGTAGTGAAGTTTAAAAAGAACATTGAGACTCTCTGGCATTTCGTTATAATCTCTGCTGACGCGCCGGACCTAGATGAAGCGGAGGATGAATTCTACCGAAAACTGTTTAGCCTAGACGCGGTTGTCGTTGGAGGTGATTTCAATACACGGGTGGGTAGGCTAGGGCACGTAGAAAAGCAACCAGAAAACAGCCAGTCAAAATGAACATGGAGAACATAACAAAACCTTGGCAAAAAATAACCAGTCACACACAAGTCTATCAGGAGAACCTACTAAATAAATTGCGGAGAGAACCTTATCGCTGACTTCTTTCTGAAGTTTGTGCTGATGATGTTGTTTAGAATGACAACGAAGGCTCCACAATCAAACAATCCAGCTTAGAGAACACAACATCATCAAAATTATCTTCCTGAGCTACAAATATTCCCCATCATCTCAGAATAGAAAAGTATGTTATGTAAGCAACAAAGTGGATAGACATAAACCACTGACTTTTAGGTACACAGAACACTCATAGAACCATACTTGTAGATAATTATTCCAAGCAGGATAATAACAACAGCTCAAAACTCCATTATATATATATATATATATATATATATATATATATATATATATATATATATATAAAGAGGAGTGTGAAGCTTTTCATATCTTAACTCTTACTTTCGTAGTGTTGATTTATGCTGTCAGGTTGATGAGTTTGTTTTGAAGTTTAACCTCTGCGCAAAAATTAATTATGCTTTCTGTAGGTAAGCAGTGTATCTAATAATGCTTTTTATTCTATTTAAAATTTGTAAGTGAGATGTATCCATCTCCCATTGATTTCTGCCTGTGAGACTCAGTGAGACAATTTATACATTTTGATACGAATGAACTAAATTGATGAGTTTCACGTTAAACGAAAATGAGCCATTTCTCATTTCACCACGATACACTGACAAACGTAGATAGACAAACAGATAGACTTACGATCGATAAAGAACCTATCACCCAAGTGCAGCAGTTCAAGTTGTCCCATTTCATAACAATACTGCCAAGAATAAGTGTATCAAAAAAGAATGACACCTAATTAAACAAAAGTGGATGCGAGAAGAGATAAGAAATAAATGAAGGTTAATGAAAGTCCTCTATATTCTCAAGATAGAAATGAGTGTGCATATCTGAACCATTGTGGTCTATTTTCAACCAAATCACTAGAGGTTTCTTATTCTCTTGAGGATCCTATCTAGGCACGCTACATCTCCCAATACAATACAAACTAAAAGTCAGAGAATTCATCGACTGGTGCTACGTTTTGTTTTGGCCATCCTTAGCTTTCTTCCCAGCTAACAGTGAGCACCGAAGAAAGCTTGGCTTGTATTATAAATACTTCAGTAAGTGAAGGTTTGAAACTTCATCAACTGTCTTGCTTTCCTTGTATCAAGCCCTACACCTAACCTCACCACTGCTCACCTAGACTTCACCGTACACGAGTAACGCTACACAGATAACTGTCGTCAAAAACATGTAGTCTCTTCATATCTTCTACATTCAGTAGCCATGTTTCAGTCGTTAAAATACACACCGGACTGCTACGAATCGCACTCATCCTTCAATAGCTAGTCGCGTCTTGCTGGCAGCAAAGATTATGTGGTTTGGCAAATGCAAAACCAGCCTTCTGTATTATAGTCCTTAGTAACCAGTCCATCCAAACAATGCAACTCTGTAAGTATGTGAAGCCATCAGCGCATACTAATACTCCACTAGTTCAAAGTGGCCAGATCAAGACGTGGCAACTGTTTCTAACTATTGAACTGGGCCTTGTAGAGAGGTGTATTCTACATTGCTGCGGTCTGTCAATGGATAGGAATCAGTAGTGAAATCACTGAAAATTGGTGTGATTGAGGCAGACGTATTCATTTTTGGATTCTTCAAAGAAGTGAGTGTTCCGATCAGCCTTCACTTTTAAATTCCCTCTTCTCCCACATACGCTTGTCTAATTTAATACCAGTCCTACTCCATCCACTTGTTCTTTCTATGGTACAGTGAAGTGTGAGAGCTTGAACCAATGAACTTATGCGCGAGGTTCGATGCTGATGTTGCCTACCTATCTCGCCATTTCTTAAGAAGAAGTCGGTGAATACTTGTCTTGAAGCATCGCTTTACAGGAGGAAAACTAATGATAAGCATATCCAGATTTCTCAGAAAAATGTTCAGAAGACCCTGTTCTTTTTCGCCAACTTCATTAAACAAAATCTTATCATCTAGGCATTTAAAGTGAACCAAACAACCTTCTTCGAGTAAACCTATCGATGCTAAGTTGCAGCTGGCTACGGTAATACACATAGGCAAGGCTGTAACAAATTTAAACAAGGATGCTAATAGTGGGCATTCATGACCGACTTCACACATTGTCGTCACTTAAAACGACAACTCTCCGTAAGCCCACGCCCACCCCTCACCCCCCCCCTCCACAGTGAGTTCCATCAGACGACATTGATAAGCACTACACACTTTACAGTACCACCTTCACCATCAGATATTAATACAACACCTGTCGGTCGACAGTGTCAAATGCCACATACAAGTCGAACATAATGTACGTGTATGATGCCAGCAAGTATGCCTGTGTTCCAAAACCTGTAGAAAGGTGATCTAGTTCACCTACCTTCATACATGTCTGAGACCAGCCTAGTTTCCTCGAGTTCCTTGCTACTCAACTACCGTTAATTAATGGATGGTTGCAGACGTCAGGATCATGAACACAAAGCTAGTCAAACTGACTGCCTCATAGTAATCACAGAATGACAGATAACGTTTGCTCTCTTATAAACAAATGGAGTGGCAGAATCGAAGGCCTTAACCAGTCATACTCAAGTCCATCTAACCAGTCATTTTACATTTACCTCCTTGAAAACTTCTGGTCGAAAACCATCAAGTAATGCTACTTTGCAAAATCTCGCATCTCAAATAGTCTTTACAACTTCAATGACACTTCGAGAATCACCTCGTACATCCCATTCAGGTTAGCGTTGCATGCTGGGTGGGGCGACTACGGTGTGGCTGTAGGCCACCCGAACTCTTCTTCAAAATGACACAACCAACGTCTATTCTATCTGTCCTGATCAATTATCACTCAACCACCTTCCTGATCAACCGTCTCCCTGACCGTCACCTATTTCATCCCAGTCACCTCAACAACTCCATTCAACTCTCGAGTATCATGTAACATCAATGTCTTCTCCATAACATTCGATTGTCGCCATCCACCATTGATTACAGTCATTGTGAAGACTCTCAGTTCGATGACACTCATGCTGTTCTCTCTCTCCTTCATCATCATGGGTAGCAACAATGAAACCACTAGCATCAA